AAAAAAAAAAAAATCTCATTGTAAATAACCCTAGTTCTGAATAAGACCATTAACCTCCTTTAGACTTTAGATAGCATGAAACATCTCAGTAAGAATTACAAAGGAAGTCTTAGCTATTTTTTATCCTTCATTGTGTTGTTTATTTAAATGAAGATTTTTTTCTGAGTTTGTAAATTATGTAAATTTTCTTTTTAGAAATCTATTGTTATCATCATGCATATGGAACACTATAATGTCTTTTAACATTAAACCCAAAAATAACAGTTACTGATCTAAAAATTATAATTTATCTTCTAATAAGCCATTCATTTATTCACTAAGTTTAGGCATTTAAAACGGTTAATCCTAAGGTTAAGATTTTTCTCTTTAGAAAAACCACCTAAATTATTCTACAAATTATCTGCCAAGCAGAGCAAATCGGAATTTAAAAAAAGGTAACGTCAAAAAAAATGTTAAATACTTGCACTCAAATGGAGGGGGGGGCGGAAAAAAAAAGCTTGTTTTGATGGAGCAAACACCACAATGAAATATCTTATATATTAACACCACTAGAGGGCTTGATACATTTTGCTTCATAAAAGCATTTCTTACACCAGGGCTTTTTTTTTTTTGGTATAAATAAAGTTCTATATGCTTATCATTCTAATCATGGTTATTTTTTAAACAGACACACACTTACATGTGTACACAGATAAAAAATGTTCGCTTAAGTGATTGTATCAAAGGGAACTTGTATAAAGTGAACCCTGTTTTAAGCAACTTAAATAAACTGGATGGTTTCAAATATCACGTAGTCTTACATTTCATTGAAAAGTATTTCTGCAAATCTGCATTTAACAACATGGTTCTGATAAATGGCCTAACCCATGTTAGAAGAAAATTATGTTTTAAGTAACATGAAAATTCCCTTCTGTTGCAAATTACCAATGATATTAATTAAAAATGATTTCACTTCATTTAAAATCATCTCTATGATATAGGAATGTTTACCTTCAAGGAAATTTCTCTATGAATCTAACCTAGATAAATTATATTTAAAAACACATATTAAATATTATCATCTCTCAATTTCTTTTTATGTAGGGCAAGTAACACACTTAGTAGGTTTGATTTTTGTCTTGATTGCTAACTTGACTTTAAGTCAATTTCGTTATTCAGCCATATTGCGAATACATATTTTTATGGGACTATGAAAGAGTAAAAATTATGACTCAGGCAAAGCAAACACATCTTACAACTTTTTCAGAAAATGTTATTTGTCCAGTCAAAGTATGAATTAGATCCACCACCTGTTTTGGATGTAGGTACAATGTTACTACAAATAAAAATTTCAAAATCTGAAGTGTAAAGTGGAAGTTATTGTTACATTCTAGAAAATAAAATAACTCTAGTTTTACAAATACAAAACAAAATTTTAATTGTTTCCTTCTCAGAGACTTTTCCAAATTATATGTTCAGTTTTGGGGGAAAAAGGTAATATGATATTTAAAAAAGAGCTTTCATTATGTAAGTAATTTCTTTGGGTAATAAGTCCAAGTTAGTAAGATAATAAATAAGTTAAGAAGTCAAAATATAAGACATATTTGACATTTGAACCTTTGTACACATATTCATATTTGAACGTGTATTGTGGTGACAGACAACATATGTAGCCACCTGTACAGCACAGGTATGACCAACACGAATGCCTTACTGGTATGTTCTAGTTGACTGTCAGCTAAGATGTCTACATATGATTTCAAAATCTAAAGAAACTCCAGTTGTCTGGAGGCTTTTCTATCAAATACTTTCTCTGTCTGAATTTCCCCCTGAGGTTGTATGTTTCCTTGTCATTCACAGCATCAAAGACATTGTAACCTAAGCGATATAATAGGCCATCGTTAGTCTAACAGTGAAATGGCTATCAAATTCAACCTCTTCACCAAGGGTAATAGCACTTAGCCCAGAATTACATCAGAGTGCTGCGGGATGTTAAATTGGAAGCCTATTTCTTCATTTATATGATCGGATGAAGCCCTCAGGCCAGTTTATAAGATTTTTTTTTCTGTTTATGAATGCAATGGTTTTGTATGATAAAATTATAGATGCATGAGTAAAGAGTACTTGATAACTTCATTAGATACAGATTGAACATTCTATTAATTGAAGTTGGTGCTATAATTTTTGGAATTTCTACAGATTCTAAAACGTCACCAAAATTTAAATAGCCTGGCTTGTAGAAGCTTCTCATTCTGTTATTTTTTGAAGCCCGTAACTCATAACGCATTTCTTACTCATAGCAAGATTATGATTCTTCTCAGCAAAGCTTTACAATTATTTTACTTCCTCATCAGAAAGCTGTCACATTCTCAAGAATATTCTAGCAAAGATCACTTTGACATCATAAATAATTATCATTTTGTCCTTCACTTTTGTTTATATCAAATATTTACTCGTTATAAGGGATTCTATAACCAAAATAATTTTCCCCTTCCGTGTTGCTATCCCTGCTACTTAGTATTTTAGTTTTTAGTGTTCTGCCCATTACTGCTACAATACTACATCTATTATTCTTAAATTCTGTGAAAGTGTACAACATTTGATGTTATCCAGCAACAAAAAAATAAACATTCTAAGTTCATTAGAAAATACTTACAGTGACACACGTCTATTAGCTGTCCTAATGCTTCATCCAGAATAAAGATCACGTGAGAGGAATATCCAGAGGTGATTTTTAATCTCCTTTCTCTAGTTTACATGATCACTGCATTCAAGTCTGAAAAATAAAAATTGTAGGCATCTTACTATCAAATAATTATGTCCAGTTCTATGTAATCTGTAAAACAACAAGAAAATGTTTGGCATTTCAGAGAGCACGATAAGTTTCTAAATACTGAGTGAATAAATGATTCAGAATTTTAAAAACTAAATGTATATATGTAGCAAAAAACCATCAGGCCAAGAAAAATTATATTAAAATATGCATTAAGCAGTTAAAATATCACCCCTTTTACTCCCCAAATAAGTTGGGAAATGAATCTCCACACACTCAAGGTGATCTTAATCCCATTTATTCTTGTAAGTATATTTAGGATAATAAGAATGATAGGAAATAATACCATTTATAATGGTAGTTTTTATATATAAAAAATATATTACATATATTATATACTATTTTTATATATTTTATAAATATATTTTATATATATAGTATAATTTCTTAGTTACAGGTACTCCTTATAAACCAACACTGAACTATTTGAATGATGAATAATAATTTCCTAAAGTATACGTGCAGCCATGGGAAAAGTTCATTTATCCTTCTATATCAGTAAAGTATGTCATATCCATATTATGTTTTAAAAGAGAGCATTTGGAGCCGAGACGGTGGATACGAGGTCAGGAGATGGAGACCATCCTGGTAACACGGGAAACCCCGTCTCTACTAAAAAAAATACAAAAAACTAGCGGGCGAGGTGGGGCGCCTGTAGTCCCAGCTACTCGGGAGGCTGAGGCAGGAGAATGAGGTGAACCCGGGAGGCGGAGCTTGAGTGAGCTGAGATTGCGCCACTGCACTTCCAGCCTCGCGACAGAGCGAGACCTCGTTCAAAAAAAAAAAAAAAAAAAAGAGAGAACATTTATCTAAATACTAGTGGAGAGATGTCCATTAAAACAAATTATTAAAAGAAAGTATGAATTTTTCAATAAGCTGGCCATGGAGAAGACGAACATCTGAAAGTATCTTTAAATTTGGTGACCTCCCATCTGCAAAGGGAAAGGAATGTGCCTTCTTTTTGCCACTAGTTTAGTTATTATTTGAACTCAGACCAATGACGTTAATGGAAAATACTTCCAGTGGAGTTGGTCTTTATGGTTGCTGATCCGTATTACACTGTTTCAATAAGAATCTGTTTAATATCTTCTAGTAATATCTACAAAGTTTTAAGATATGGTTGCTTTATTAAAAAACAAAAACAAAACTTTTGAGTGAAAATGCTATAACACCTTACTCCCACCTCCCAAAGTCAGAATTTAGTGGATTCGTTTCATGTGAGCCTTGAAGATTGTCACAGAGAATAACAGTAGCTGAAGTTACCCAATGTAACCTTTGTAATCTCAGTCACTGTGAGAGGAGGATGCGGAAAGAATAAATAACTTGATAAAAACCCACCTCTACAAAACAAAGTCTCTACCCCTCGGTGCAATTACTAAACGTCAGTCAGCAGTAGCATTGCAGGCGTATAACCCACTTCCTTTCTGATTGGTTGGTATGCCCATTCTGATTTTTAATATCACCCTTGCCTCTGGCCCATGACTTTTTATTTCCTTCTTGATCATATAATTGTTAGTACTTGCTGTTCAAGAATTTGAAAAGATAATTATACATTGATAATAATTGTACATAAAAATTTCAAAGTAAAGAATCGATCACAGTTTCAATTTCATATTTTCTTCAGTTATAACTTCAATTTTCCTTTTTTGTTCGCTTTCTTTGTCTTCAAAGTCCAATATTATATGTAAGTTCTCTTTTGCCTTCCTTTTAAATATATCTTATCCTTTCTAATGACTTCTATATTTGATCCTTTGATATTTTCCACAGCTGTTATTCTACTGACGCTTTCGCATAAGTAATTGTTAAGAGGGTTAATGGAAGGGAATGATTGTTGTTTGCCAGTAGGCATACACTGCCAATCTTTTCTCCCTATTTGATTTATTCAAAAAATTATTTTTAAATGACTTGACTTGATTGGCCAATATTTAGCCTGGCTTGCTATTTAATTTTAGTGTTTTTTATTTATGAAGTAATATAGATGGCTATAGCTTAGTGGAACCCAGTGATATTTTTTCTGTGTTAAATTTTCTAAAGTTAATATCCATACTATATTAAGAAATCTGTAATTTGAGGGAAAATACATTTTTTCATAGGTTTTCAAAATTCTAAATCTGCATACCATAATCCAGGAAATCCACAACTAAGAAGGAGGTCAGCACATATTTGCAAGCTGTTGATATTTAGGCATAGTATATTAGCTCTGTAACGTTTTCAATGGTATTTAAAAATCTCAGAATAGTCAACTAAAACAGCTACGTGTTGGCTTCATAATATTTTGGTAAGCATGTCTGGGAACCAAGCCACCACTCAAAACACAGTAATGATCAGAAAGGAACACCGCATTCTGACTTCCAGTTTGAGATTCAACATGCAGAGGCTCCTGTCCATTTCCCCTTAGCATCCTATTCACTCTTCATCAGAAGTCACTGCTCCCTTGAAAAGTGTTTACCTCCCTCTCACACACTTAAATCCACAACAGAAGTGCTTAAATACTTGGCTAAAACAGAAAAGAATTTGCATGATTATGATAACAATAACAACAAAATAACAGTAAATAGGATCTATGAATGGTGACTCTGTGTCAGGTTGACATTTTATGTGGCTTTTTTTTCATTTGTATATGAAATAAGTACTGTGATTATCATCTTCACACTGCATATCAGTAAAGTGATGCCAGGAAAAGCTAACTAATTTTCTCAGGGTCATGCACCTAGCTAGCAAGGAGTCAAACCTGTTTCATGACAAGGTTGATCCCATGTTCCTTTTATTAAATCATGTCATTTTGTGACTAAAATATTTGTGATAGAAAATAAAGTTTTTACATTAACCAAGTAATTAATGTCATAATATATAATACGTTACTGGCAAAACTTCAATTTTAAAACTATATAATGTAAACATGTGATTTTTTTAAATGATAAGAAAAAATGCTGAACATGATAAGAACTGAATCTTCTGAAGTATCATAGTCACATTAAATTAAATAATAAGGATACGAATGTCAACATGCTAAAATGCTGAATTTCAGAGCTAAGTCACTGTAGAATATATATGGGAAATAAAAAGAAAATATTTAGGTGTCTTTCAGAAATATATAGTTCAAATGTATCCTGCGTTTTTTAAGTTTCCACAAATATAAATAATCATATATACCTGATTTTCCAACATTGAGGAAGATTTAAAACAAAATGTAAAAAATGTAAACATGTCTATACATTGAGCCATTTAAGTTAATACAATATTTAAGTAATAAGATTCAATCCAATCCTGTGTCATTTACATTAAAATAAGTGAAATATTGAGTCTCCAATCACAACCCTGCTAACCCATATCAAAGAAGTTCATATTTTTGACAGAAAATGTTTGAAGGCTAACAGATTTATTCTTTCAAAATAAACCAGATATGAAAAGAAAGTAGGGAGGCTGGTGTAGAAAGAATTTTAAATAAATTAAATTACAACTTCATCCTATATGCATTACTTTCTCATCAGTAGTTCACATTAAAAAATCTATATAGTATATACCTTAAATGACAATGACAATTTTAATTAAGAAGAGTTCTTTTTTTAGCTTCTTGCTATAGTTTCTTGTTTGTACATTTGCTTTATAATTCCATGCTAGCTCCTTCAATGACTAAAGAAACTCTTGGCTTTCACAAAACCCAGTATGCGAGTTAATGTAGAGATTTGCTGATGAACTTCAGGAGAAACATAAAAAATACATATCTCCGTGATTTGTAGGGTCAAATCAAGCTAATAGGCTACGAAATTGAAAGAATGCACAAATTATAACCTCAAGAAGTATGTCATTTCCTCATTAAAAGTCTTTAAAGTTAATTGTAATTCATGTAAATTTTTCTTTTTTAAAGATCTTCCATGCTGAATGGTAGTTTTAATATGTAAGATTACATCTAATCTTTTTTAGGTCAGCAATTGATAAAACCTTTGTAAATGAAAAAAAAAAAAAAACTTGACATTTACTGTTGAATAATCCAAACAAGGACAAAGAATTTGTCTTCTAAGTATCAGCTTGGAAGGGCACAGCACTTACAGGATGAAGAATGGTGGGGGAAAGGCCAAATGCACATTGGTCCAAAATGATAAAGCTGTCAAAATGTGGAACTGGTGGGAGGTGAATTATCCTCAAAGAAAACAATTCCTTTAGTTAGAATAGTAATTGTTTTTAAAAGTTACCTAAACATTACTGGCTAATCATTATTTTAAATTGCACAGATAACATCATTATTATATTCTGAATTTCGCTAGTTCTTTTTTAAAGGTATGGATCACTGTTGCAAATCTTCCTAATCAATTACTAGAAATATTAATTTTCTTCCATTTTATAACGTAACCATTTTATGTTGTGAACAATTTGTTTTGACTGATTCGTGTTTCTGAAATGATAGGAAAGTAACAAAAAATAAAATGACATTTATGATTAGAACATTTCTATTTCTAACCCTTTAAAATACAAAAAAAGAACATTGTCAGGCAACTTTTTATACAAAGATATAAAAGGCAGAAGATATACATTTAGAGATTTTGTCATCTCATTGAGGAAGAGAAACACACACACAAAACTCACACAAAAGAACACACACAAAAGAAAACACACACACAAAAGAAAAGGCTGTTTTTTCTTAAACCAAGTCAAACTGGTCCTTGCACCCCTACACAAGAGTCGTAAAACACTTGGCAAGGTCAAAGTCTTTTCTGTACTGTTCAACCAGTTGTCCATTCTGAGTCCTCATTGGATGCAAATACTGGTAGCATCTGACCCATTGAATTAGTGGCTTCTGAATCTATCCGGAAATGGTTTATTTACTTGCCACCTCTTTCCCACCTGGCTTGTCAGGCTCCTTGGCTGGTTCTTCCTCATTTCCAGATCTAAGGCCTGCTCAGTCTTCAACTTACTCTGTCCCCTTTTTAGTCTCATGCTTATAT